TAGGTTAGGAACTTTCTCAACACTAGACCCTCTGCTCTCTGTAGATAATATTCCAGCCTGCTCTGGGCCTACATCATACAAGGAAGCTTATAACACTACTAAGCCGTAACTCGCGTAGGCCTTGACATGAACTCTTGAGCCGGATCTCGACTGGCAACTCTCTAGGTGCACATCGAACCCACCCCGAAAAATATCACGCAGCTTTGAAGAAACTATGCGCCAGAACTCCAAGCGCTTCAGCCCTATCTTAACCCAAAGCCCACTCTTGAAGATTCTAGTCGCCAATACAGAGTAAGATTATTTCCTCCTCTTGGGTATGGCATTTTGCAAGAAGAATGTAATCTTACTTACTTGTTTCAACTACAAAAAACACTACGCAGTTGAACTTGAGGGATTTAGCCATGGGCGGAGCACGCTTGTGCACGTCACAGCAAGAGGCGTCATGTATGGGCTCTGTAGTAGATAGGAAGGGTTTAGGGTTTAGGGTCAGGTAGGGGAAAACAAACAATCTGCCGATCATGGAGCTTCTTGTTTCGGAAATGGAAGCAGAAATGGAAACTGGCATGGTATTATGGTTCATGGCGTCTAGGGCCAGGTCGGGCAGAACCCTAATTATAAGCGGGCAATGTCCTGTGGTCTCTTAGAGCTGCTATAACAGATAAACCACGGGAGCTTTGTAATACACCTATCCCTGTTTGGTCTTTCCTAGAAGGGTCCCATCGTGAAAAAAGGGCACCCTGTTAGGAACTTTCTTGGGCATGCCCGCACGTTGCATCAAAAGCTTCTTGTTGGAGGAAGCCCCGAAGAGTTTGGGTGAATATCATCCTCTCTTAGAGTGACTCTTCCACACTCGGTGGAACGCGCAAGGGTGCTGGTGTTGAATCACACAACTAAGTCGATCCTCTGTTGCTCAGGATACACTTGTAAAGAAAATTCGGCTGTAGCATTTTGCAAAGTTGGGATCCTCCACGACATTTCCTTGGAATTTACTTTGCAGTTCGAATGGGGCCACAATTTTGACACTTTCTATTTAATTCATTGTAAGCCCGAGTGGCTGAAGATTTGAAGGTAGTCTTCGTCATTGGTTGTCGAACCCGCCAATCCCCGCAGAACGCACAACCCTATAGATAAACGAGCAGATGCTCCCGGCTTCTTCCCAGCTGAAATTCGAAGCATCTGAGCTCTTCATGGGAAACTATGGTCCCAGATTCCTTGTCTGATTACGGGAAAAGGGTACCTCAAGCAGACCTCAGCATAATCTTTGCAATTATCGTAGCCCAAGATAGGCGACAAACACCGCTGCAAAAACCTTTGTTCTCCCTATAAAGTAGCCCTTTGTTTCAAAGGATTCGCGGTCTTTCACCCCGTATTGCCGCCTATGGGCTCATAATCCATCCCATACGTAGGACTCTCTCGTGCATGTTGCTCAGAGCATTCAAAGCCGTGATTTTTCCGCCCGAATTCCAACAGGATCCCGACACCCTAGTAGCCCGAAACCCTGAAGCCCTAACCCCTAAAACCTACACCCAAAACCCTAAAATGCAAATCCTGAAACCTAGATCCTAAATCCTTAGCCCTGACCTAAAACCAAATCCTTGATTCTAGACCCTGAAGAAGAGTGAAAGTGAGGCTCCGCAACAGCGCTTGCGGCGTCTTCGTCCCATCCCCACAGCCGCGCCTCCGCTGTGATGGGTTTAGTGGTCGGTGAACAACTGAGTAGTATTCTATTTGGGGATACTATGGTACCCAATATAGAGTAAGATTCTATCCTCCTTTTGGGTTATCTTATATAAGGAATGTAGTCTTACTAGGTTCAACCACCAAAAAAACGCTACTCAACTGGGTCAACGTTGCATGCACGCTTTAAGGTTTTAGGAGTCGGTTTTGTATTAAGCCAAGGGGAACATTTACTTCTATTTTTAAAGCCCAATGAGGAACCAGACAAGCGGTCGGTGACAGCGGTCATAGGATTCTATATGGTCCCTTTACAGTGAAGGAGAGAATGGACCCCGCTAGAAGTCATATGCAGCTTAGGGTCTAGGATTCAGGGTTCAGGGTTAGGATTCCAGGTTTATGGTTTAGGATTCAGGGTTTAGGGTTTAGGATTCAGGGTTTAGGATTCAGGGTTTAGGATTCAGGTTTTAAAAATAGAATTCAGGGTTCAGGGTTTAGGGCCCAGCAATCATGCCCACAACCGGCTCATCCTGTACGTATTGAGAAGGTTCTTTGTGGCCAAGGCCTCACAAATGCAGGTAGTTGGTTCACCCACATAACACCCCTTGTAGCCCCCATAAGAGAGTATTGCGGGATCACCTTGAGATCTTTAGAAGTTTCTCGCGCCCACGCAACATACTCCCACCCACCTCTTGAATATCTGAATGCTTGTGCCATTGAACTTGGCAGTTTTCCCACCATTCGGACCTCGACCGCGATTCTATCACTATTCATTGTCGTCTGAGTGCCCTCATCACGTAGTTTCATTCTTACCCATAGAAAGAACATGCACAAGTCATGTTGTTATTGTTTGTATCAACACCGCTCACGATCATTACTCACGTCAGTATTGTTTGCAGTGAGGACATACCATGACCATCACGATCCTGACAGTCGTCACGTATGTTACTGAAATCCTAAACCCTACCCACCAAACCCGCTATCCCAATACCCTTAACTCTGAACCCAAGCCCGAAAACCTAAACCTTAAGCCCTAAAGCCCTAAAACCATAAAACCCTAAACCCCTAAACCCTAAACCTCTAAACCCAAAAACCCGAAAATCCCTAAAATCAGGTGCTTTGCTTCTGCGCTTGCGCTGCCGGACGTGGCCTCGTGGCCTTCTGCGGCGCACGGAGTGCAGGGCAGAGAGAGCCTGCCACAGGCAGACTCGACCTCTTGGAGCTGTTCGGGGTGTGGGTTTAGGGTTTATGGGGTTTATAGGGTTTATAGGGTTTATAGGGTTCATGGGGTTTATAGGGTTTATAGGGTTCATGAGTTTTATAGGGTATAGAGTTTGTAGGGTTCATAGGGTTCATAGGGTTCATAGGGTTGACAGGGTTTATAGGGTTTATAGGGTTCATAGGGTTTATAGGGTTTATAGGGTTTTGTTCTCTTGGGGTTCTAGGATTTAGGGATTTTGGGGTTTTGGGGTCTGGAATGAGGAGGGTCAGGATTTGGTGTTTTCTACATTACTGGAAGAGTATTGAGCATGCAAAGAGTTCAGGGTTGTGCAGGGTTCGACTCCTCCTGCCTGAGTAATTAGGGTTTAGGGGCTTCGAGCTTCAGGCAACAAGGTTAAGATCCTAGAGTCCTTGTATATGGAATAGGGTACCTCAAATGGACTTCAAATGACGTTGCCAATTATTTACGCCCCTCATTAGACACCCTACAAAACCTCCTCTAGACCCACTTTCCATTTTCTTTCCTGCTTGATTCTCTTGGTGATATCTCTAACATTTTATGGCCCCCGTATTATCCCCAAGCCTGAACCTCAAACCCGAAATCATCTAGGTTTATTCCTCATATAATCCCCGTATGTCATCGAGGTCACTCTAGTAAGCATGACCTCCATATAATCCTGCTTGACCCCTGTATATTTCCTGTACGACTTAACCCTAAAGCCTGTATGCCCTTACAACACCCTACTATATATATATATATGTATGTACAATCCCCCTATATATTCTTATAGATCACTATTGCAAATTATCCACCCTTTATACCCCTGTAGGACACTACTAATTATATAGGATCCCCCTATAATCCCCTTAAATACCCTCATGAGACCCTATGATATATAATCCGCCTGTAGTAAGCTCTGGTTTGATCCCCTCAAGCCTAAAACCTAAAACCCTAAACCCTAAACCCTAAAGCCTGAAGCAAGTGCAGGCTTGGATGCCTTCAAGCCTCGACAGCAGCACACACACTTTTTCAGGAGGCCACTGAGGCCGTCTCGCTTCGAGGACGCGCGGTAAGGGTTTAGTGCTTAGGGTTTAGGACTTAGGGCTGAAGGTTCAGGGTTTAGGGATCCCTATTAAAATGATCTGGTCTTTTTTGTCCATGGCACATACATATTTTGTCACAGCGTTCGAGGTTCCATCTGGTTCACTTCGGTAGAGAAATTATGTGTTTCAGACGACGCTCAAGCATAGTCCCGCATGGTCACAAGCCCCAAACCCCAAATCCTAAACCTTAAGCCGCAGATATTTGTCTATACTGTACCTCCCTAGCTTCCATGCAGCTTTTTGATGATTCACGGCTTCGGGGTCCAGGTTTTAGGGTTCAACATAACTTGCACTTTAATTCCTTATTCAAAGGGGTGTAATCAGGAGAAGAAGCTCGGGTCCGGTGAAGGTTGGTGGGCGTACCAAGCAGCAGGGTGTTTGCTACTAATTAGTATGCTACTCATACCCAATGAGGACTGTAAACGTATGATTTCGAGTAGTAGCTCCATAAGGAATCAACTAGTGGAATGCGTGCTGGCGGTATCCCCAAGCCAGACCGTGTTCTTCTGTGAGGGTGGAGACCATTCTTAGACCCGAATCCCTAAACCCTAAACCCCTAAACCCTAAACCCTAAACCGTAATCCCTAAACCCTAAACCCTAAACCCTAATCCCTAAATCCTAAACCCTAAAGCCTACAAATCCCTAGACCGGCAGACCTGAAAGAATTTGGCTCCAGGGCGGTCCTGAGCAAGAGGGGGATGGCCGAGGAGAGTGGCAAGGCCTGCACAGGGGCTTAGGGTTTAGGGGTTAGGGTTTAGGGTTTAGGGTTTCCGCTTTTGAGTTTTGGGGTTGAAGGGTTATGGCTTTACAGGCTTTTGCTGTCTAGGGTCTAGGCCTTTTAGGTGTTTTGGGGAATATGTTTTCCGATGTATATTTTGCTGTTCTAAATCTTTGCCGACTCAGAGCCCAATGCCCAGCGTTTTGAACATTGAGAATATTCCTTTATCCACGTTGCGCTAGCGCCCTTGAGACCCGGCACGGTTTATGTGGCTTAGTAGAAATGCATGTGGGCCTGGTATGCATCGGAGATAGAGACGATTTTCAATATGCGGATTCCAACATTGCTGAGTCATCGTTTCATAGAATTCTGCGTTATTTTCTGTATTGAATACTTCTCCCTTGGCTCCCTGTGAGGTGACGAGGGAAAATATCACGTCAACTGGGAAGACCCGAACATCGGCGACAAGCAGCGCAAATTCAAGCGCGAGGAGCCTTTGGATGATGCTTGGTTTGAGGATGAGGAGCTAGCTGAAGCTGGCTTCGGTGCGGATGAGAATCCTGATGAGGAATACGTAGAGCGACGCATGCCCCGACGACGCGCGCCAGAGCGGCCGCGACGCCCACGTACACGTTACCTCGAAGGCGCATCGCCGGATTCTCAAGCTGCTCCGCAAGCAACTGATTTAGCTGACGCACCTGCAAAGCGTACTCGCCGCGAGAGGAGGGAGCCGTGGCGGCCCCCGGTCTTCCGGCCCACAGCACGCCGCGGACGCGATGTCCGTGAGCGCGATGACCGGGTTGGCAGGCGGGACCGGGTCGAGGAGCGGTCTGACAAGGGACGGGGCAGGCCAGAGCGCCAGCCACGGCAGCAGTTGCGGAAGATTAAGCTGGAGCCCCCGGTTCGACCTGTGAATCTGGAGGCGATGGCGGCCAAGGGACTCCCGAAGATGAACCTTTACCAGCTCCCAGGCTGCAGGAAGGTAGGTGTCAAAGTCAGGATTTTGCTTCTTTCCTTGTCTTTTTCTTTAGGGGGATTACAGCAGGACCATGCTGCAGCGAATGGATGGATGGGGTTTGGAGCTAGCCCTGGTAATGTATGTAAGTATGACAGAGCGGCTAACTCTCAGCAGGTTCTTCAATCAAAAGAAAAAGTCATCGGCATGCAGCACCTTCTTTTAGTATTAAAGGGGTACAAGTGAAAACTTTCCGAATCGGATCAACCACCATATAACCCCTCTATCATTCCTATATAACCACCCTAAGCATTACATACCCCCTATAGCCCTCGTATATCCCCGTAGGAAGTTTGATCAACTCCCAGGCCTTTTCTCTGAAAATCCGTAGCAAGACCATGCATGGCCAAATCCTAGGCCCTTAGCCGTGGTTTAGGGTTTAGGGTCTTGGGCAGTTGCTGCGCATTTTGCTGTCTGGCTCAGAATGCCAACAGTGAGCCTTACTGACGGGGTTTCTCATCTCCTTGATACCTTGGGAATTATTGTGCCATAGTGCACTAAGGTCATGCAGGGGTTTTAGTACGAACAGTTTGGATCCAGGGAGTACACAGAGGCCTGATTTCGAGAAGTGTATGCGACAGTGCTTGAGCGAGTGACCTCCTGCGCGAGACGAAGACAGTTAGGGTTTACCTGGAGACCGCTTAGGGTTCAGGGTTTACTTGGAGGTTCATGAGATTCTTTAAGTACTTATAACTGGACGGCTTAGAATCCCATTTATAACTCTGAAGAGGACTTATGTAGGCTATCCCAATTATAACTAGGGTTACAGAAGCACATTTATAAGTAGCATCAACCTTCAAATGCAGAGGGGTTTAGGATTCGCCTAGCGATGCTCAATTTGGGATCACTGGGCCACAGGATCACCAAATATCCAAGATTGGGCCGGAGGGCTGGAATAGAACCCCGGTGGATACAGTAAGCGTAAAAGCAATAGTAATAGCATGTATTTGCAATAGCGATAGTAATAACAATGCCAATTATAGTAGCAGTAGTTATGAGAAGGTCTTCCCTGAACAGCGCACCCGTGCCAGTCTTGAAATCTTGAGTTGGGGTCTCCTAAAAGGTATTCCGCGATGTGAGGATCCCTTACAATATTTCTAGAGTCTCAATTTTGGGACTAGGGGGACGATTTGTATCATGCATATCGCAGATGATCTTTAGCAGCGGCTGCCAAGCCATCCATTCGGAAGCCCATTTGGGCTATAGTCTAAACTCTTAATCCCCCTTGATAAGCCCCATAATACTCCCCCATATAGTCCCCCATATAACCCTCCAAACCCTAAACCCTAAGCCTTAAACTAAACACTCAAACCCGAACCCAAGACCCTATATAACCCCATCTTTAAGGAGTTTAGACTTTGGCTCATATGGTAGTTTCCCAAAATTAGGGGCACCCCAATATAGACCCCAATATACTATAATCCTTATTCTGGGGACCCCCAAAAAGGGTACCCCTAACTTTGGGAAACCCCCATATCATTAGCGACAGCCATCCCCACAGAATTGCTCATTGCAGTCAGGCTAGAGCCGTATGACTTTGACTATTATGTCATTCGAGAACTCGGTCAGGCAAAGCAGGCAAGGGAATTAGGGAACATAGTAATATGGGGGGTAATATTGGGGTTATATTGGGATAGTGGAATATAAAATGGAAAACTACTATAAAGTGTATTGTGTTGGGATGTAGGGTTTAAGGTTTAGGGCTTCAGCAGTGTCATTTTAGGGAGCGTGAGGCTTGTGTGTCGAAGGTTTTTATGATTTGGAGCTTCAGGATTTCAAGGTTGCTTCTCACCGGAGAACGTCAGCATCATGAGTTAGGGCTTCTGGAAACGGCTGCGCGATTCCTGCTGTTGTTTCCCAGAAGAAAGAGGGAATGTAGGATAATGGGCTAGTTACCAATAGTACACAGCCCTGATACAGTTTTGATTTTGTGGCCCAAAGCTCTCTGGCCCATACATTGCTACTTTGATTACGCACGCCAGGAAACCTGCACTGAGCCAGACCTTGGAAATTTGCAGGATGATGGTTTTCAAAACGAGGGACTGATACGGTGGATACCAAAAAATCTGTATGACTCTACGTGCCTTATACCTTGGCAGTTATTGTGCCATAGTATACTAAGGTCATGCAAGATGTTTAGTATTTACCGAGAGTAGTCGCGCGCCCCAGTAAGGTAAAGCCCTCAGTACAATGAAGTCCGTACAAAGGCACTGCATTCCTGGGACAGACTGGTGTAGTGTATGTCGGAGATCAGACTTCGTGATGAATCTCAGGAATAACAGTTCTCAAAGTTTGGGTTCCGCATGTCCCGGAGCCAGGCATCCTGGCATTGTCACGTGAGTAGTATTTTATTTGGGTAATTATGGTACCCAATAAAGGCCCGAGCGATCGCAGGTCGAGATAGCTTCCCTGGAGCCTGGTGCTCCTTTGTCTCGGCTATAGGGGTGTGGGATGGTCGGCTATGAATCGTTGCTT